GCCCGTGTAGTTCGCGTAGGCCTTCGCGCCGCCCGTACCGCCCGCGTCAGGCCCGCGCGCAGCCTGTATAGCCTACGTCAAGCCCGCGCGCGGCCTGTACAGTCCGTGCTAGGCGTTCGCGCAGCCCGTACAGCCCACGTCAGGCCCGCGCGCGGCCAGTACAGCCCACGCCAGGCCTGCACGCTGCACTGCGCCTGTGCTGCTGCTCTACCGCTGCTGCAATTTGCTGCAGCTGTTCCCACTTACTGCCACTGCTGCTACTTGCTGCAGCTACTTACTTGCTGGCGCTGCTGCTACTTGCTGCAGCTGCTCTTCCTTACTGCCACTGCTGCTACTTGCTGCAGCTGTTTCTACTTGCTGCCGCTGCTGCTACTTGCTACAGCCGCCCCTGCAGCAGCCGCCCCTGGCCCCTGCAGCAGCCGCCCCTGGCCCCTGGAGCAGCCGCCCCCTGCAGCCGCCACCTCTGGCCCCTGAAGCAGCCGCCCCTGCAGCAGCCGCCCCTGGCCCCTGCAGCAGCCGCCCCTGGCCCCTGGAGCAGCCGCCCCTGCAGCAGCCGCCCCTGGCCTCTGGAGCACCCGCCCCTGCAGCAGCCGCCCCTGCAGCAGCCGCCCCTGCAGCAGCCGCCGCCACCAGGGAAGCAGCAGCTGCCGCTGCCGGGCCTGCAGCAGCTGCCGCCGCCGGACCTGCCGCAGCTGCCGCCGCCGGACCTACCGCCCCGGCCCGCCGCTGCTGTCCCTACTGCCCCGGCCCTGCCCTGCAGCCGAGCCGCGGCCCTGCTCTGCCGCCTCGTTGCGGCCCCGACCCTGCCACCGCACCTCGGCCCGCCCCTGGTAAGCACACCGCCGAGCTGCGCCGCCCTGCTGAGCCGCACTGCCTAGCCGTGTCGCACTGCTGCTGCTGCTGCTAGCCTACTGCTACTGCTGTCATGGCTAGCCCTACTGTGCTTACCTTTGACGCTGAGGGTCGGGCGGTCGATTTCGATGTCTGGGTCGATGACTTGCAGCTTTTCCTACAGTGCGATAGCAAGGACGGTGTTTCCCAGTTTGATCTTACGTCTGGTGCCTCTACCGCCCCTGCTGCCGATGCTGACAGTACTGTTCGCTCACAGTGGACCACACGCGATGATGCTGCCCGTCTTGCTGTGCGTAGTCACCTGCCGTCCACTGAGCGCGCGCACTTTAGCCAGTACAAGACTGCTAAGACCTTGTACGACGCTGTAGTTGCGCGCTACTCCTCCCCTGCCACTGCTGCCCTTAGTCGCCTCATGCTGCCGTACCTGTTCCCTGACCTCGCTGCCTTTGACACAGTCGCTGACCTCATTACGCACCTCCGCACTAGTGACACCCGCTACCGCGCTGCGCTTCCTGCTGAGTTCTACGCCAAGAACCCCCCCCCCCTATGTACATCACCCTCTACTACCTAGTCACCCGGCTCCCTGACTCCCTTCGTCCGGTCAGGGACCACTTCCTCTCTGTTTGCCCCACCACACTCACCGTTGACCTCCTCGAGGAGCGCCTCCTTGCAGCTGAGAAGAGTATAGTCGCTGTAGGAGCCTCTCGTGGTGACCCTCGTACCCCTTTCTTTGATGGGTGCTCCCCTGTTCCCCTCTTGCCCTCTGTTGCCTCTGCTGCTGCTGTCGACCTCGTTAGCACCGAGTCGGTCGGCGCTGCGTCTGCCCCTAGCGGGAGGCGCCGCACCGGCAAGAGCAAGGGGGGCAAGGGTGCTGGGAGAGCGGGCGGGGGCGGCGGTGGTGGCGGTGGGGGCGGTGGGGGCGGTGGAGGGGGTGGGGGTGGCGGTGGGAGTGGTGGGGGAGGTGGGGGCTCTGGTGGCAGCGGCGGAGGCGGCGGCGGCGGGGGCGGTGGGAGCGGCGGAGGCGGAGGTGGTGGCGGTGGGAGCGGCGGAGGAGGAGGCGGTAGCAGCGGTGGTGGCGGTGGCGGTGGGGCTGGTCGGGGTGGCCCTGTGCAGCGGGGAGGCTTCGGTGGTGGTCAGCGTCAGCAGCAGCAGCGCACTCGGGAGACCCCTCCCCCCCAGCAGCTTCGTGAGTGGTACGCTGCGCGTCAGCGAGGTGGGGGTGCATGTCTCTGTGCCTACGTTCTGCGTACTGGCGACCGCACGGGCGAGCCGTGCGGCGGCCCGCACACCACCCAGCACTGCTTTGGCCGCCTGACTGACGCCTGGCGTCTCCAGTTCCCTCACGCCTCTGAGATCCCTCGCTGGGGTGATTTGCTTAGGTCGGGTGTAGCGATCTTTGATCTTGACTTTGATGCTATTCTTGCTGCCATGTATGCTGTGACTATTAGTGAGGAGGGTGACTGTTACCTGCGTGTTCCGCCTGACCCAGGCATTGCTGCTGCTGCTCTAGGTGCTCGCGAGTCCACTGCTCCAGGTACTAGTGAGTCTGCTGCTCCAGGTGCTGGTGAGTCTGCGCTCTCAGGTACGTCGGCTGGTCAGGCTTTACACACCTTCACCCTTGACTCGGGTGCTTCTCGCTCCTTCTTTCGAGACCGCACCACTCTCACGCCGCTCAGTCGGCCGGTTGCAGTCTCCCTGGCAGACCCCTCTGGGGGTCCTGTCCTTGCCCACTTCTCCACTGTACTGCCGTGTCCAGCGGCCCCGTCTGGCTCCCTGCAGGATGGGGGAGTTGACCAGTTCACTCCTGCGAGTCAGCGGGTGACCCACTGCACGGACGCTCGGACGGGCCGACACTTGGCCACGTTTACCCGTCAGCCGGGGTCGAGCCTGTACACACTGACTACCGAGTCTCCTTCGGTTGCTGCGTCTGGTCAGGTAGCTGCGTCGGGTCAGGTGTTTGCTGCAGCGTCCAGGTCTGGTCCTGAGTCTGCCCCCTGCTCGTGTCGCCTCCTGTCTCACCAGACCCTCCTCTGGCACCACCGCCTTGGTCACCCCTCCCTGCCTCGTCTCCGAGGCATGGCCTCCCGTTACCTTGTCTCTGGTCTCCCCCGGTCCCTCCCTCCCCTTCCTCCGGGGCCTGCCCCTACCTGTGTTCCCTGCGTCGAGGGGCGGCAGCGCGCCGCTCCTCACTCCTCCGAGTTTCCGCCGACAGAGGCTCCGCTGCAGACTCTTCACATGGACGTGTGGGGCCCAGCCCGTGTCCGTGGACAGGGTCACGAGCGTTACTTCCTGCTGGTGGTTGACGACTACTCGCGTTACACCACAGTCTTCCCCTTGCGCACCAAGGGTCAGGTTACTGGGGTGTTGATCGACTGGATCCGCGCTGCTCGTCTCCAGCTCAGAGAGAGTTTCGGCTCGGACTTTCCTGTTCTGCGTCTGCATTCCGACAGAGGTGGAGAGTTTTCCTCCGACCTTCTGCGAGCCTACTGTCTAGCGAGGGCATCCGCCAGACGTTCACGCTTCCGGCCTCTCCACAGCAAAATGGGATTGCTGAGCGCCGCATTGGCATGGTCATGGACGTCGCTCGTACGTCCATGATCCATGCGGCTGCTCCCCATTTTCTATGGCCGTTTGCGGTTCAGTACGCGGCGCAGCGCAGCAGATCAACCTTTAGCCCCGGGTCTCCATGCCAGAGACCTCCCCCACCCTGCGGTGGACGGGGAAGGTTGGCAATGCGTCTGCGTTCCGTGTCTGGGGATCTCGGGCTTTCGTCCGAGACTTGTCTGCGGACAAGCTGTCCTCACGTGCTGTTCCTTGCGTCTTCCTTGGCTTCCCCCCTGACGCGCCTGGTTGGCAATTTTACCACCCCACCTCGCGCCGTGTTCTGTCCTCCCAGGACGTCACGTTTGACAAGTCGGTTCCCTACTACCGTCTCTTCCCCTACCGCGCTGCCCCCCTCCCCCCCCCCGCCGCTCTTCCTCGCGCCAGGTCCCCCCCCGGTAGACCCCCTCCCCCCTCAGGGTCCTGCCCCCTCAGGTGTGTCCCAGGTAGACGCAGTCGAGCCTGTCGAGGTAGCTGTCGACTCTGGTGCTACTAGGGGTGCTGAGCCTGCGGGTGCCGGGTCTGGGGGTGCTGAGCCTGAGCGTACGGAGCCTGGGGGTGCGGAGTTTGGGGGTGCTGCGCCTGGGGGTGCTGCGTCTGGGGGTGCTGCGCCTGGGGGTGCTGAGTCTGGGGGTGCTGAGCCTGGAGGTGCTGAGTCTGGAGGTGTGGAGCCTGCGGGAGCTGGGCCTGCTCGTGTGGAGTCTGGCGGTGCTGGACCTGGAGGTCCCTCGGGTGCTTCGGCCCGACGGGAGCTGCCCTCTCCACAGGAGCCACAGGTCCTGTGGAGTCGTGCTGCTGGAGCTGGTGGTGCTGCAGGTGCTGGAGGTTCTGCGACTGCTGGAGGTTCTGGAGCCACAGGTCCCGGAGGTGCTCGTACCGGCGGTACTGGAGCTGCTGGGCCTGGTGGTGCTGCTGGTGCTGGAGCTGGAGGTGCTGCGGACGTGGGTGCTGCTGGAGGTGCTACTGGAGCTGGTGCTGCTGCGTCTTCTGGTGGTCCTGCTGGTGCTGGAGGTGCTGGAGGTCTTGGTGCTGGAGTTGGCGCTGCTGGAGCTCCTGGCGCTACTGCTGGAGCCGGTGGTGCTGCTGGAGTTGGAGCTGACACTGGGGGTGCTGTTGCTGTCCCTGCTAGTTCTGGAGGCGCTGCGAGAACGAGCACTTTCAACCGGCTCAAAGGTGCTAGAAACTCCAGTCCAGCATCAGTCACACTGGTCCCCTTGAGATTAAGAGACCTGAGGCCGTGTGCAGCCCCAATGCCTTCCAAACAGCTGTCTGTTACAGCAGGGCTGGTCAGCTCTAGGCTCTCAAGCTGCTTCATGTAGAAGTGCTTGATTCCCTCTGGGCTGAACGGTGTTGACTTATCAAGAGCGATGTGCTTCAGGTGAGTAATGGTGGACACATGGTAGAGGATGGCTTCTGAGAGGTAAGGAAGCCCCTTCAGGTCCAATGTCGTTGCCGCATGAATCCTCTGCAGATAATGGAAAAAGGGAGAGAAAGTTTGGAGGGGCAACCGTAGAAACCATACCAAAAGGCAAGGTCCAGCTATCCATTCATCTAGCAGCCAACGTCACCATTCTCGCTCTCACCTGCCAAACCGTTTTATATGCCCCTTTCCGCATCCTGAGCTCCTCTTCCACGTCAAACTCCACATGCTTCGGTGCTGGGGGGGACTGCACAGCTGCGGCAAAAAAATCCGAACTCACTCCTTTCCTTAGCCCCTTCACCTCTTCCTCCTCTTCCTCCTCTTCCTCCTCTTCCTCCTCTTCCTCCTCTTCCTCCTCCACATCCTCCTCCTCCTCCTCATCCAAAAACTTTCTCGTTTCTAAAGTCCCTTTCAATGCGTCCAACTTCCCGTTCACAGTCGCCAGCTCCCCCCTTGTTGTTAGCAACTCCCCCCTTACAGTCACCAGCTCGCCTCGTAGTAGCACCAACTCTGCTGCCTTGCCCCGCTCAAGCTCCTCCAATCCTCTCCATATCTTCTCCAGCTGCCATGACGGCTGGAAAGTTGGGGAAAAAAGGGTTGGAGGGAAACTGGTTGGAGGAAGAGCGGTGGAAGGGGGGAAGGGGATGGTGCCGAATAAAGGTGAGAATCACGGTTCCCTGCTCATGCCGCCCTCGTGCTGCTCGACCTAATTCCGTTTCTCTATCCGTCCTCAGCACCCCGCTCTACTTAGGGTAGGGGTTTCTGCTTGCTCAATCCCATGAGAGACAGGGAGGGGAGGGATGGGAAGCGAAGCGACGGGAAGGGAAGGGTATGGCGGGGACGGCAAGAGAACAGAGAGGAGTTAAAAGAGGTGGAAAGCAAGGAAAGGAAAGGGAACGGAACGGAAGAGAAGGGGAGGGAAGGAAAGGGAAGGGAAGGACTTGGGAAGGAAAGGAAATCCATCTGTTGATCGACCTCTTACCTCTTAGAGAATCTCACCTGTTCAGACACATGTTCAGCGGGAGCAGAAGGCGACGACTCCAATCCCTCCGCCACCTGCTCCCGGCACACCACGCCGCTGCGTGACCCTACTACCGCCCCGCCGGCGACTCCTGCTAGCGTCGACGATGACGCAACAGCACCCGCTGCTGCGAAAGGCAGGAGCGGCGGCATCCCCGCTATAGGACGCAGCGCTGCTGCTCCGCTACGAGCATGGGATGCGGCGCGAGAAGTGGTGTTAATAGCGGAGCGAGTGGAACTGGGTGAGAAGCGAACGGGGAGAGAAACGGGGCAGGATCTCGCTGCTCCGCGACGAACGGAGCCCGTGAGAACACGCGCGAGCACCATGGCGATAAGCTTTCGCCTGCACAGCAGGTGATAAAACCCTGATAGGAGTGACAAGACTCGACGTTCAGCGTCGTACGAGTTGCGTAGGCGTTTTTATTCTAGTATTAATATATCAGAAAATGCACTATATTATAAATGAAGCGATAAACTATGCTATTTCTTTATATATCGGGCTTCTTTGGTCCTTACAAAAATTGCGAATAACATTCTTCTCTCTTGCGATTGAGTGCTAGTTTAAGGGGAACGATCTAGGTGTCAAAGAGCTAAAGCTAGTTAGGCTTAGAAGCCATGGCTAGAGTAGCTTAGGAGATTAGGTTTAGGGTTGAAGGGGGATGTCGAGAGAGTTCCAAAGGAGAAAGGTGGTCCAATAAAGAGAGGAGGTACAAGGATATAGGCAAAGCAAGCAAGGTGCACCACCAAACAATGTAACACTACACTAACTACTGCTACAAGCAGTTTATATAAGAAATGTATTTCAACACACCCCCTAAACTGCTTGCAGCAGGAAGCTAATGCAGAGACACCCCCTGAAGGGGTACACCAAGCGCAGCGGAAGACGGCAGAGAGGAATGCGAGGAGGAGGAGACGAGAGAGAGAGAGAGGGGAGAGGAGAGGAATGAGGAGAGGAGGTGGGGGAGCCACGCGGCGAGCCCCTCTTACTAACCCCCGTTTTACGAAGGGGGGGGATGAGAGAGGGATGAGGAGAGGAGGTGGGGGAGCCACGCGGCGAGCCCCTCTTACGAACCCCCTGTTTACAAAGGGGGGGTGAGAGAGGGAGGAGAAGAGGTGGGGGGAGCCTAGCGCGGCAAGCCCCTCTTACTAACCCCCTAATTCCACTCCCCCTTTCAGCCACCCCCCTTGTCAATCGCCCCCCTTGTCAATCGCCCCCTTGAACCTCATGCCTTTCCCCCCACCCTTCCTCCAACGCCACCCCCTCACCCTCCCCCCCCTTCCCCCCCACCCCAGGAGGGGCGGCAGGAAGAGAGAGGAGGTGGGCTGGCGCATGCTGGTCACCCCCGCCACCCCCTCACCCTCCCCCCCCTCCTGCCCCCCACCCCAGGAGAGGCAGTAGGAAGAGAGAGAGGAGGAGGGACGGCCGCTGGTTTGTCACACCCGCCAACCCCCCCACGGCTGCAGGCGCAGCAGGAAGATGGAGTCGAGGGGGCGGGGTAGGAGCTGCTCCGCGGCTGCCCGCCACCCCCATATCCCCCCCCCCCCCCCCCCCCACGGCTGCACGCGTAGCAGGGAGAAGGAGGCGGGGGGGCGGGGTAGGAGCCGCACCGCGGCTGCAGGTTCTGGCGCGCTCCCGAGGCGCGCGGTGTGCAGAAATCCGCGCGCGACAGTGTCCGGGGGCGACACGACGGACGACGGGGGGCGGCGCGCTGGTCCTCGGGGGCGCCGCGACGAACGACGGGGGGCGTCGCGCGGGTTCCTGGGGGCGATGCAACGGACGACGGGGGGAGCGCGCGGGTCCCCGGGGGCTCCGCGACGGAGCGTGAAACCGCCGCGCGCGCCCGGGGCGCGCGGCGGGCAGGAGACCGTCGCGCGCCACGGGCACGCGACGGGCAGAAACCGACGCGCGCCACGGGCGCGCGACGGGCAGGAAAGAGGCGCATTGGCGGAAGCTATCGGTGGGCCCATTAGGTCTTAGGAGCTTAAGTCCTCTGATACCATGTCAAAGAGCTAAAGCTAGTTAGGCTTAGAAGCCATGGCTAGAGTAGCTTAGTCGATTAGGTTTAGGGTTGAAGGGGGATGTCGAGAGAGTTCCAAAGGAGAAAGGTGGTCCAATAAAGAGAGGAGGTACAAGGATATAGGCAAAGCAAGCAAGGTGCACCACCAAACAATGTAACACTACACTAACTACTGCTACAAGCAGTTTATATAAGAAATGTATTTCAACACTAGGGATTGATATTATATTTGCTATTATATTGCAACATCGAAGTACCCTTAGTGGGTTTGTTTATTTGCAGCCAACTCTGATGTGTCAGTTAGGTGGATGGAGTGGTTATGCGTGTGTTGTCACGTGATACTACTGTAGTGTGTGGGTTCTTTTTGTTTGGTTTGTCATGTGCCCAGGTTCTGTTGAAATTCGCACTCGAATCCAGCGTGCAATTCGCCTCATCGTCCTACCCCTCCTCTTCGCTTACGAATTTTGCTTGCGATTCGCCCGCGACTAGCTCGCAATTCGCCCCATCAGCATAGCACTGTACGCTCATTTTAAAAACCGTTTCTTGCCTCGTTTTGCAAAACATTCCTGCCAGCGCCACACTTCCCAACCACTTTTGGTATTTGAGATATACACCGGGTACAGCAAATGTATCATTTTCTTGCCAGCGCCACAGATCCTTCCTTTTTTCGCTGTCAACTCGAATTCTCCGCTGACTTGGTTTCTTGAATTTGAGCACCTGCTCTACTCTGCTCTTTCCCTTCCCAGCTGTCAATTCGAAGTCTGTCATACCTGGTTCCCTCGAATTCCTCCTGTGCCTGCTCTCTCTGCCAATCATCCAGCTATCGCGTTTTACTAACACCCAGCCGTCGCCTCTCCCTCTTATCCCGTCGCACCTCCCTCCTACCCCGCCGTTACCATTCCCTCCCATCCCGCCGCCACACCGTCGTCGCCTCTCCCTCACCTCGCAATCGCCACTCCCTCCCATCCCGCTGCCCTCTTCTCCCATCCCACCGCCGCCACTCCATCCTGTCCCGCCGCCGCCCCTCCCTTCTCCACGCCGTCGCCGCTCCGTCCCTCCCCACCGTCGCCTCTCCTTCCCTCCCCGCAGTCGCCTCTCCTTCCCTCCCCGCCGTCGCCTCTCCGTCCCTCCCCGCCGTCGCCTCTCCTTCCCTCCCCGCCGTCGCCTCTCCTTCCCTCCCCTCCGTCGCCTCTCCTTCCCTCCCCGCCGTCGCCTCTCCTTCCCTCCCCGCCGTCGCCTCTCCTTCCCTCCCCGCCGTCGCCTCTCCTTCCCTCCCCGCCGTCGCCTCTCCTTCCGTCCCCCGCCGTCGCCTCTCCTTCCCTCCCCGCCGTCGCCTCTCCTTCCCCCCCCGCCGTCGCCTCTCCTTCCCTCCCCGCCGTCGCCTCTCCTTCCCCCCCCGCCGTCGCCTCTCCTTCCCTCCCCACCGTCGCCTCTCCTTCCCTCCCCGCCGTCGCCTCTCCTTCCCTCCCCGCCGTCGCCTCTCCTTCCCTCCCCGCCGTCGCCTCTCCTTCCCTCCCCGCCGTCGCCTCTCCTTCCCTCCCCGCCGTCGCCTCTCCTTCCCTCCCAGCCGTCGCCTCTCCTTCCCTCCCAGCCGTCGCCTCCGGCGAGTGCACGAGCGCAAGCGCAAGTCGGTGTGCGAGCGCGGGTTGGTGCGTGCGCGGGTGCGCGAGCGCGGGTTGGTGCGCCAGCGCGGGTTGTTTTCTGAGGCACCGTGGTTATCAGGTGCGTTCCCGGTCCTTTCATCCTCCCTCCCCCCTCTGATATTTCCGGTCCCCCCTCCCCCTTTTTTTTTGCTCTATGTGTACATTTTGTCTGTCGATTGGTCTCCTCTTGCATTGCACTTTCATTTGAAGAAAAGGAGAGACGGAGCGCGAGGGAGAGTGTGTGCGTGGGAGCGAACGCTCAGGAGAGTGCGCGTGAGAGAGCACGTGAGAGAGCGCGTGAGAGAGCGCGTGAGAGAGCGCGTGAGAGAGCGCGTGAGAGAGCGCGTGAGAGAGCGCGTGAGAGTCCGAGTGCGCGTGAGAGAGCGTGTGAGAGTGCACGTGAGAGAGCGCGTGAGGGAGTGCGTGGGAGAGAGGACGTGAGAGAGGGCGTGAGAGAGCGCGTGAGAGAGCGGGTGAGAGTGCGCGTGAGAGAGCGCGTGAGAGTGCGCGTGAGAGAGCGCGTGAGAGTGCGCGTGAGAGTGCGCGTGAGAGAGCGCGTGAGAGTGCGTGTGAGAGAGCGCGTGAGAGAGCGCGGGTGAGAGCGCCTGAGAGTGCGCGTGAGAGTAGAGTGCGCGTGTGAGAGCTCGTGAGAGAGCGCGTGAGTGAGCGCGAGAGAGAGCGCGTGAGTGAGCGCGAGAGAGAGCGCGTGAGAGAGCGAGTGAGGGAGAGCATGAGAGGGCGCGTGAGAGAGTGCGTGAGTGAGCGCGAGAGAGGGAGAGAGCATGAGAGGGCGTGTGAGAGAGCGCATGAGAGAGCGCGTGAGAGAGCACGTGAGAGAGCGCGTGATAGAGCGGGTGAGAGAGCGCGTGAGAGAGCGGGTGAGAGTGCGCGTGAGAGAGTGCGTGAGAGAGCGTGTGAGAGAGCGGGTGAGAGCGCATGAGAGTGCGCGTGAGAGTGCGCGTGAGAGAGCGCGTGAGAGTGCGTGTGAGAGAGCGCGTGAGAGAGCACGGGTGAGAGCGCGTGAGAGTGCGTGTGAGAGTAGAGTGCGCGTGTGAGAGCTCGTGAGAGAGCGCGTGAGTGAGCGCGAGAGAGAGAGAGCATGAGAGGGCGCGTGAGAGTGCGCGTGAGAGAGCACGTGAGAGAGCGTGTGAGAGAGCGCGTGAGTGAGCGCGAGAGGGAGAGAGCATGAGAGGGCGTGTGAGAGAGCGCGTGAGAGAGCGCATGAGAGAGCGGGTGAGAGCGCATGAGAGTGCGCGTGAGTGTGCGCGTGAGGGTGTGTGTGAGAGAGCGCGTGAGTGCGTGTGAGAGAGCGCGTGAGAGAGCGCGTGACAGAGCGCGTGAGAGAGCGCGAGAGAGAGCGAGTGAGAGCGAGTGAGAGAGCACGTGAGAGAGCGCGTGAGAGAGCGCGTGAGAGAGCGCGTGAGAGAGTGCGTGAGAGAGTGCGTGAGAGAGCGCGTGAGGGAGCGCGTGAGAGAGCGCGAGAGAGAGTGCGAGAGAGAGCGAGTGAGAGTGCGTGAGAGAGCCCGTGAGAGAGCGCGTGAGAGAGTGCGTGAGAGAGCGCGTGAGAGAGCGCATGAGAGAGCGCATGAGAGAGCTTCATGAGCACGCTGCAAAGTGCTCATGCACTAGTGTGTGTCGCTTATGCGAACTACTTATGCAAACGCGTGTCACTTTCTGCACTAGTGCTTAGGGTGCCGGCTTCTAAGATGTTGACTTCCCTGTTTTTGCTTGTGCAGGGCGTGTGTGTGCTGTTTTTGCTTGTGCAGAGCGTGTGTGTGCTGTTTTTGCTTGTGCAGAGCGTGTGTGTGCTGTTTTTGCTTGTGCAGAGCGTGTGTGTGCTGTTTTTGCTTGTGCAGGGCGTGTGTGTGCTGGCTTCTCTGTTTTTTCTTGTGCAGGGCGTGTGAGCTGAGAAGGGAGATGAGGGAAGGAGGGACGGAGCGGTCTAGGGAGGGTAAAGGGGAATAGGCTAGCGGGGATTTATGCACTTCTGAATTTCATCTGGATGGTTGCGTGTTTATTACGGTATCTGTGCTTGTTTGCTTGTTTGTCACTGTGTGCAGGGAGTGAGTGAGAGCTGCATTTGCTGTTATTTCTTTCCTGTGCAGGAAGTTTACCCTGCAATCATTGTTTATCGTGGAGAGAAAAGGGGGGCTGGGTGGGGATGGGGGGGAAGGGAGACCAGGGACGGGGGGAGGGAGGGAGGGGAACGGGGGACAAGTTAGTGATGGCTTATTAATTGGTGAACTTCATTGGCTATGCTTGCATGCTTTAGTATTAGCTATACGTTTCTGTTTTTTTTTTTTTTTTGTCTGCGCATGTGTGAGCCTATGTGTGTGTGCGTATATGTATGTAGTGTTGTTTGTGTCTGTTTCGCTGTGAGTGCTAAGTGCCTCGTGTATGCAATTGGGGTTGTGATCGTTGGTGGGGCAGCTTTGCTTGCCTCTTCCATACCAGATCAATCTCAGTTGCATCAATGATGCATTTTAGCATTAGCTTCGAAGCATTCACAACTTTTGTCCCTCGTTTTTGTACAAGTTCGTGTGCTGTCGTTTGTGACTGCTTTGGGGTGTGGTGCTAAGTGCCTCGTGTATGCAACGTGAGTTGTTGTGGTTGTCGGTGAGGCAGCTTTACCTGCCTCTTCCGTACAATTTTGCATGTTTTGTTTTTCTTTTTTTCACTTGTAGAAGTTTGCCTATGATTGTGTTTCGTATCGTTACGTTATTTGTGCTAAGAGATTGTCCAATTGTTCCATTCGCCGTACTTATCGACGATAATGGAATGATTGGACACATTTGTTTCCATTCTTAGGGTAACTTATGTAAACAGTGATTAATTTTTTCCATTTTTTGGGAAGAAAATCACTGTTCACATCAGTCAACCGAAAAGTGAAAACGAATGTATAAGGTTGCTACGCAACCCAAAAATACGGGCTAAATTCGAGCATAGACAGGCCTGAATGGGATGATCGCATGAGATGAGGAAACTTTGTCAAAACAGAACTACACGTTATTGTACTTCTCCATTACTATCAAGGTGGAAATTGGATAATCAGGCATCATATAGGAGAAGCGGAAATATAATTTGAATGGTTACAAACAATAGGAAACTAAGATGATTCCTTCTTATAACCAAGAGCAACACTACTCAGCTCCACTCCTGGAAGGTTGCTCAGCACGAGTGCATGCAACCCGCGACCTTCCGTTCTAATTAGTCTCAAACGAGGTAACTTTCTGAGCAGTGCTACACCTTTTGCTGTCACAAAAGAGTTTGATATATCCAACTCTTCCAAAGCAGGAAGACTCTGGATGTGCTCCAGGCGAGCATCACTGATCATGCTCGGAAGAACGAGCACTTTGAGTCGGCTCAAAGGTGCCAGAAACTCCAAACCAGCATCCGTTACACGGGACCCATTAAGATCGAGGTATTTGAGGCTGCTTGCTGCTCCAATGCCTTCCAGGCAGCTGTCTGTTATGGCAGGGCTGGTCAGCTCTAAGCTCTCAAGCTGCTTCATGTAGAGGTGCTTGATTCCTTCAGGGCTGAACGGTGTTAACGCATCGAGAGCAATGTGTTTCAGGTGAGTCATGGTGGATACATGGCCAAGGATGGCATCTGAGAGGTACGGGAGGCCCTTCAGATCCAGTGTTGTGGTCGCATGAATCCTCTGCGAATTATGGAATCGGGGGAGGTGGGGGTGAGGGGGGGGGAACGAAAAAAAGTTGAAAGAGAAACAGTGCAAACCATACTAAAAGGCATTTTCCACGGATTTATCTAGTAGCTAACATTGTTAGTCTCGTACGTACTCACCTGCCAAACCATTTTATGAACCCCCTGGCGCATCCTCAGCTCCTCTTCAACGTCAAACTCCAGATGCTTCGGTGCCGGGCACGGCATCACTGCTGCCTGATCCAAACACACTCCTTTCCTCTTCACCTCCTTCACCTCCTCCTCCAAAGCCGGCTTTTCCCCCTTCACTTTCTGCAAGCACTCCTGTTCAGCCAGCTCTCCTTTTGATTCCATAAACCCCTTTTTCACTGCATCCAACTCCCCTTTCACAATCGCCAGCTCCCCCCTTGTTGTTAGCAACTCCCCCCTTGCAGTCACCAGCTCTCCCCGCACGGTTAGCAGCTCCCCTTTCAGTAACACCAACTCGGCTGCTCTGCTCCTCTCAGCCTCCTTCAGTCCCTTCCGTGTCTCCTCCAGCAGCCCTTCAAGCGCTCTCAGTCTCATCTCCCTTGCATCTTCTGCTCCGTCAGTTGCTGCGTACTGTGCTGAAACTGCACACGGCAGGGTGTTGAGCTCAGGCAGTTGATCCGACATGACGTGTTAAATTTACCTGAAAGGGAGAAATGGAAACATACACAAAATCATGGCATAAGGCAAGAGGACAAGAGGGCCGAGCTTGACCTGATAGGGTATTTACAAGTGACATTATGACGTGATGCATGGGAAAACACATACATGTGCTATGTGCTAACAAAGTAACGAATAACTAGGAGCAAAATCGCAACACGAAAAAAATGGACGGCTGGGACTACAATAGGTAATTTTGATGGAGTATCAAGTGGGTGAGTAACGTGAAACTGCACGCCAGCTGAGACAATGGATGTAAGAACTAAAAAACGGGTCTTAACCGATGGTCTGAGATGACCGTCGATAACGGGCCGCTTCCTGGGGACTGTTTCGTTTGAGGAATCTAGGCTGTAAAGCACGATCAGAAGGATCCCGTACGGCAGCATTAGCATGTCAGTAAGAGAAAGTACTTACTTCAACGGCTAGGAGCATGAGAGGGGGAGGCAATAAGGATAAAGGAACTGTCAGATAAGATAGAATGGAATGGAAGGGATATGGACAACCAGAAGACTTCTTATGCACTATACACGTCTGAGAGGGCGTCCGAGGAGGTTGAACCGACTACTTCTAGTAATAAGTCGAGTTAGTCGTCACTGCGCGAATGGAGCTGAGCCTATCAGCGGGAAACGCGAAATCAGGCTTAGTGTAACCGAAACCAGCGTCGGTTTTTATTAGGCGCCTCAACGACACAATACGCACTTCACGTGAAATGCAATCAACTCCCCAGTTGCAAGAAACATAAGCACATAAGCTAGCTCGTAAGACAAGATCGATGTGCACATTCGTCGCTGCTAATTCACGCGAGATCAGCCACATTAGGTCGTGTAAAATTGTTACGACCAAACGCTATGGTCGATTCTGGGGGTTTCTGGCGATTGCGAGGAATTAGGGTTACGCTGATGCGAGTAGTCACCCCGGTTTGACTCGTTTTCAGTGGTAATTTCGGAACAGAGGTTTTCGCACCGCTATTTAGGACATGATTTAACTGATGCTCAGCGGGGGGTATATGTTTTTTCCGTTTACCTAAACCCACTTCTTTGGTAAACACTCTAGTCTAGGCTTCAGATCCCCCGTATTCCACACCCCTTTCGAATGTAGTAAGGGAATCGAAACATTTCCTTTTTATTGGCGGGGTTCGCTTAGGTGTTACATATTTCGCACTCGCCAGAAACGCCCAAATAATCGACCATAGCGTTTGGTCGTAACAATTTTACACGCCCTTAGGGTGAGTGGCATCTGGGAATGAAGGTGTATGCGAGGAAGTGCTTGGGGGCGACATTTCGCGATAAGCGTCGTACTTCATTTCGCTCACTCGCCTTTCAAGTTCGGAACCATCTGTTTCCGCTGCTTCTTTTTCGTGCAGGATTGACGGCTGACGCAAGAGACCCCACTGCGAGAGATTTGGCAGCGATGAAACAAACGAGCCTAGAAGCTTTGGTTCGTTTCAAGGTCAAGCCAAAAAATATTGGGGCACGGTGAGGCAATCCAGACACTTATACCGTACACTAGTGTTCAACGCCCCTTCTAGGATTGTTAGCATGGTATGAACATATACAGTACGAGGCCTCAGAGTCCAGAAGTAGTAAAGTCTCCCAGCAACAACCACTAGCCAGGGTAATTTAGCACCATCCCTGCAATCAGCACTACGCGGGGTCCACATTGCGCAGCACCACGGACGTCATCGAGCTCCCAAGCGCTGCCACCTGTATCGAAGCAGGCACGTCGGTGTAACTCTGAGTCGCCACCAGCGTGTTGTTCTCCGTGGCTGACGTGCGATAGGTCTCCAGCACACATTCCTGCGCCGTGTCAAACAGCACGAAATCCTCGAATTGGATCGTGGCAGAGAGCGTGGTGTTGCGCTGGTTCACAATGAAAATCGACACAAAGTGCTGGTCGGGTTGGAAGAAGGCCGCAATGCAGTGATGGCACCCATCCGATGTGTCGATTCGAAGGGGCAGGCTTCCCCTCGGCGCCCCGCGCACAAACTGCTGCAGCATGTAGAGCTTCTTGGAGATCACCAGATCCAACGGCTTGACTTCCGTGTCGTTCAACCGGTAGTGCCTGATCGCCAACAGCCCCCACTTCAGGAAGTAATCAGGGTTGGTCCCCACTATCGCGCTCACCGCCTGCCAGAAGGTCCAAGCGGAAGCCCCCATGATGTTCACAGCCTGCACTATCTGCCGCGCTGTGAACAGCATCACGCCGACATCATTCCCGGTCACCCACATCGGTCCGACCTCCGACATCCACACCTCCTTGCCCAGCCCGGTCGCCATGCGGTGCATTCCCACCATCACCCCTTCCATGTACTGCCGCGTATCTGTTGTGTTGGGCGGCGGCGGGATGTACCCGTGCACGTTGAACCGGAACAGACCGGCTTTCACCGCAGCCGGGAACTTGTAGGCATACCGGAGAGTCGCACCAACGAAACTGTCAAACCCCGCAACTTTCGTCGGCAGCTTGCGCTTTTTGAGGGTCGCGGTGAGAAGCTGAATAAGCGTGCTCATTTCCTGCGGATTGAAGTTGCACCCCTCGCCCTTGGCCCCCTGAATCCACCACCCCTCCAGCGCCTCATTCGCCGGATTCATGGTCGAGAAAGTCACGTTCCAGTGCGTGCGGTAGTGCTCGATCACCGACGCTTGATACTCCGTGTACGCCTGAAAATACTCGGGCTTTAAGTTGCACTTGTACTGTTCCGCCCCAGCGGTGTCCCCGCTGACCGTCATCCACCAGGGCGGCGAGCCCGAGATCGCCTCAACCTCGTCCACATTCCGCGCCAGGGCGGCGAGCATCGTCTTTCTCAGCCGCCAGTCCGCCGTCCAGTCGTAGGGGCCGTTTGGCTGGACGCGGAAGCCGGGAAGAATGCGGGTTTCCCAGGCAGGATTGAGGAACTGGGGGCTGTTGGTGTAGTTGGCGCTGCCGCCTATGGTGTAGCGGGCGAGGTTGAGCCCGACACCCTTGGCCTTGTCGAAAAGGAGATCTATGATGAGCGTGAACTGGTCCTCTGGCAGCTTGCCTATGTAGTTGGCGAACCTGCAGGGGGGGTGGAACAGGGGGCAAAGGGCACGGAGCACGGGGTACGGGACAATGAGGGAACACGGGGCGAGGGGCAAGGGGCATGGGGCAAGGGGCAAGGGGCATGGGGCAAGAGGCAAGGGACAAGGGGCAAGGGGCAAGGGACATAGAGCGTGGGGTATGGGACATAGAGCGTGGGGTATGGGACATAGAGCGTGGGGTATGGGACATAGAGCGTGGGGTATGGGACATAGAGCGTGGGGTATGGGACATAGAGCGTGGGGTATGGGACATAGAGCGTGGGGTATGGGACATAGAGCGCGGGGTATGGGACATAGAGCTACGTTGCCAAATACGCTCTGGGTAGGGTGGCGTACCACGTATATACGATTGCGTACGTACGTGGTACGCTAATACGCTTCGAATTCGTGAAAAAACGCGCGGGCAGCCCGGCGAAAAAAAAAAATCGGAATTGAAAAAAAATTGCGACGGTTATTAGGGCTTCGCGACTGGTTACGCGACCAAGCACATCGCCCAACCCACGTCTGAAATTCAAATTTCAGAATCCATACCTCCCACCACCCCAACCACACACCACCCCACCAAACCTCTCATATCCAACCACCCCTCTCAAATGTCCAGCACGGCATGTGAGCATTTACTCGTTGACGCCTTCGTATCCTTCATTCGTTTCTCTCCTCCTCAATTTCATTCCCGAGCTCTGATCTCCCGTTTTCCTCAAGCAGTTTACCGTTCCTTAGTCGCGCCCCATGGCGTCGAACTCCACCCCTCCTAGCGCGACAAGCAATGTAGCTTCTTTTCAAGCGTCTAGTAGTGCGATCGACACGCAGCCTGTTGAGGCTGGCCTTTCGAACCCCATTCTGAAACATTTTCTTATTCCCCCCCACACCAAAGGCAATCCCAAGCTTTGTAAGTTTTGTGGCTTCAAGTTTGAGGGCGGAACCACTCGCTGCGCAGTTCACCTCGCCAAATGGAAAGGGCAAGATGGACGCCCTGTCAGGCTTTGCAAGGACGTGTCCCCGAAAGTCCGTGAAGAAGTGCGTGCCATGTACGAAAACAAGGAGGAAAACAAGAGCATGAAACGAGGGGCGGCTGCTGCAGCACTCGACTCTGTGCTGGGCGCGGTCACTGCTTGTGCGGAGAAGAAGGGGAAGATAACAGAATTCTTCGGCGACGAGGCAACGTGCGCCAAGGAGGACGCGGATAACGCGCTATGCCTAATGATCTCGGCGCTGAAGCTTCCAGAGCGCATCGTGGATGATCCGGTCTTCCGCTACGCGGTCCAGTGCTTTGCGCGCGCGGGACCGGGGTATGTTCCCCCGAAGAGGGGCTACGTTGGAGGGGCGGGCTTGAAGAAAGTGCGGCAGAAAATGGAGGCAGCGCTCGCCCCCGTTGCCGCGAGCTGGAAGCGGGACGGTGTCACCGTGTCGTCGGACATGATGACCGACCGTTGTGGCCGCCCGCAGGCCAACATACTCCTTGTCAACGACTCCGGCGCAGTTTTCGAGCAGGCCGTGGACTGCAACATGGAGTCGAAGACGGGGGGGTACATCGCCAGCCTTCTCCGCCCCGTCATTGATAAGGTGGGGCCGGAGAATGTGGTGGCGGTCTGCACCGATGGCGGCAGCAACTATGCATCGGCAGCGCGGAAGATTGCGGGCACATGGCCGCACATTGAGCATGTGCCATGTGCCACGCATGTCCTGGACCTGTTAATGGAAGATGTGGGCAAAATGGGATGGGCGAAGGGGCTTGTGGAGAAAGGAGGGGAGATGATTACCTTCGTGCGCAACCACCACTTCACCCGTGCCTATATGAAGAAAGTGGGGGGGAAGCAGGTGCTCAAGCCTGCGGGAACCAGGTTCGGGACACAATACATAGCCATGGCCCGGCTATGTGAGGTGAGGAGTGGGCTGGCGGCGATGGTGCTCAGCGACGAGTGGAAGGTGTGGGCAGCGGGGGACAAGGATAGGAAGACTGCAGCCGAGAAATTCAGGGCTGCTGTGATGGATGAGGAGTGGTGGGGGGTGGCGGAGTTCTTTTCCTCTCTCATGGCGGTGCCATTCAAGGCCATGCGGGCCACGGACTCTTCCGCGAAAGGCATGATGGGTAAGCTGTATGACATTATGCTACAGCTTACCGAGGACATCAATGACAAGCTCGACGCTTCAGGCGACTTCTTGACTCGGACAGAGAGGGCAGACATCACCAAGATTGTGAAGGACAGGTGGGACAACTCCCTTGCCTGCCCCATGCATGTGGTTGGCCGGATCCTGAATCCGGCCAACCAGGAGGAGGGAATTTTCAGGAACGATGTGGAGTGCACGAGGGTGTTCAAGGACTACATCGAGCGCCACTATGACCACGTCACCTTCAGGCGCGGCAAGGATGGTGCCCCTCGCCGCGCCTCCCTTGTGCTGCAGGAGGCATTGCTGGCCTACATCAACTTGGAGGGCAGTTTTGGCAAGCCGAGCGCCATAGCTGCAAGGGAGGCAGTGAAGAAAGGGGAGATGAGCATGGTGCAGTGGTGGTCGTGGCACAGCACCGAGTACCCTGAGCTTGCCACCCTCGCATGCCGGATTCTCACTCAGCCCGTCTCGGCTTCTTCATGCGAACGTGGCTGGGCGCAGTGGGAAGGCGTCCACACCGCCCGCCGCAACCGCCTCGGGTCCGCCAAGTGTGCGGACCTGGTTTACATTGCGCACAACTGGAACGTTGTGCGCAATTGGTACAACAAGGATGGGGCCAGCACGGTTGTGCCCGGGAACATCCCGGATGCCCCTATCCCCCGCGGCTACAACATGGACGAGGAGGAGGAGGATGACCTGCTGGGGGGGGGAAGGAGATGATGCAGTGCTGGCGGATGAGTATGGGGAAGGGGTGGTGGTGGAAAAGCCCCGCAAGGAAATAGGCTGTGGGGAAGCTCGCTAGAGGGTGGGGATTATGTGGATGAACTATGTATTTCTGGATATTTATGAAATAAAATATTGACATGTGTTGTTGTCGGCCTGAACCCCCCCCCTGAAACAGGTTTTTTTATACCTGCCCGGGAAAAAAAGTTTTAGCTGCCCGCCAGCGTATTTTTGCGTATCAGCAGTACGCCAGCCTTGGCGTACCGCGTATATACCAAGCGTATAATACGCTAACGTATTATACTCGGTACTCGTATTTAGCAACGTAGACATAGAGCGTGGGGTATGGGACATAGAGCGTGGGGTATGGGACATAGAGCGTGGGGTATGGGACATAGAGCGTGGGGTATGGGACATAGAGCGTGGGGTATGGGACATAGAGCGTGGGGTATGGGACATAGAGCGCGGGGTATGGGACATAGAGCGTGGGGTATGGGACATAGAGCGTGGGGTATGGGACATAGAGCGTGGGGTATGGGACATAGAGCGTGGGGTATGGGACATAGAGCATCGGGCATGGGACATAGAGCATCGGGCCTGGGACATAGAGCATCGGGCATGGGACATAGAGCATCGGGCATGGGACATAGAGCATCGGGCATGGGACATAGAGCATCGGTCATGGGACATAGAGCATCGGGCATTGGAGCATCGGGCATGGGGCATGGAGCATTGGGCATGGGGCATGGAGCATCGGGCATGGGGCATGGGGCATGGAGCATCGGGCATGGGGCATGGAGCATCGGGCATGGGGCATGGGGCATGGAGCATCGGGCATGGGGCATGCCAGCTAAGCAGATAACCATGTCAGTCAAGCAACTCACCATGCCAACGAGGTGCCCCAGCCGTGCCACATCTGTCCGTTCCAGTCAGGGGCGATGGTGATGGTGGAGGTGGCTGCGCGGCGAGGAAAGGGAATCAATGAGAAAGAGATAAAGGGAAGGAAAGAAGACGTTAGGCCAGTCACTCACTGCACGACTGACCATTCCAATTATGGGCGATGGTGATGGTGATGGTGATGGTGATGGTGATGGTGATGAGAGAGGGGTCTGCGAGGCGAAGGAAGGGAATGAAACGGAAGGGAAAGGAATGGGAGATTAAGGGACAGAGAGCCATCCGCGCCAGTTGGGGGCAATGATGATGGTGGAGGGGTCTGTGAGGCGGAGACAGGGAATGGACGTGACAGACACGATAGGGGAAGAACTGGTAAGGGAGATAAAGGGAACGGAGAAGACGTTGGGCCAGTCTCGCAACGTCTGTCCGTTCCACTAGGGGAGATAGTGATGATGACGGCGATGGCGATGGTGATGGTGGTGGCAATGGTGATGGCGATGGCGATGGCGATGGGGGTGGTGCTGGTGATGGTGATGGTGATAGTGATGGTGATGGTGATGGTGATAGTGATGGTGATGGTGATGGTGATGGTGATAGTGATGGTGATGGTGATGGTGATAGTGATGGTGATGGTGATGGTGATGGCGATGGTGATGGTGATGGTGATGGCGATGGTGGAGGGGTCTGTGTCTGCGAGGCGAAGATAGGCGAAGATAGGCGAAGATAGGCGAAGAAAGGACATGAAGGGGAAGAAAGAGAATGAAGGAAAATGAAAGTAAGGAGGAGAGAAGAAGCAGCGCCCGCCAGTTCCCTACGAGGAAAAGGAATATGTCCAATGCAATCCGGGGCGATGGCGCTGTGGGGAAAGGATAGGGGACGAGAGGAGAGGAGACGAGAGGTGAGGAGACGAGAGGTGAGGAGACGAGAGGTGAGGAGACGAGAGGAGAGGAGACGAGAGGTGAGGAGACGAGAGGTGAGGAGACGAGAGGCGAGGAGACGAGAGGTGAGGAGACGAGAGGTGAGGAGACGAGAGGTGAGGAGACGAGAGGTGAGGAGACGAGAGGTGAGGAGACGAGAGGAGAGGAGACGAGAGGTGAGGAGACGAGAGGTGAGGAGACGAGAGGAGAGGAGACGAGAGGTGAGGAGACGAGAGGTGAGGAGACGAGAGGCGAGGAGACGAGAGGTGAGGAGACGAGAGGTGAGGAGACGAGAGGTGAGGAGACGAGAGGTGAGGAGACGAGAGGTGAGGAGACGAGAGGAGAGGAGACGAGAGGTGAGGAGACGAGAGGTGAGGAGACGAGAGGAGAGGAGACGAGAGGTGAGGAGACGAGAGGTGAGGAGACGAGAGGCGAGGAGACGAGAGGTGAGGAGACGAGAGGTGAGGAGACGAGAGGAGAGGAGACGAGAGGTGAGGAGACGAGAGGTGAGGAGACGAGAGGCGAGGAGGCGAGAGGTGAGGAGACGAGAGGTGAGGAGACGAGAGGTGAGGAGACGAGAGGTGAGGAGACGAGAGGTGAGGAGACGAGAGGAGAGGAGAGGAGCCGAGAGGAGAGGAGAGGAGAGGAGAGGAGACGAGAGGTGAGGAGACGAGAGGTGAGGAGACGAGAGGAGAGGAGAGGAGACGAGAGGAGAGGAGAGGAGAGGAGAGGAGAGGAGACGAGAGGTGAGGAGACGAGAGGTGAGGAGACGAGAGGTGAGGAGAGGAGACGAGAGGAGAGGAGAGGAGAGGAGAGGGGAGGAGAGGAGACGAGAGGTGAGGAGACGAGAGGTGAGGAGACGAGAGGTGGGGAGACGAGATGCGAGGAGACTAGAGGTGAGGAGACAAGAGGGAGAGAACGGACGAGAGGGAGAGAAGAGAAGGGACGAGAGGGAGAGTATAGACGATGGGGAATGTTGAGCACATGGTTGGCCTCGTGGACGGTGACCCCATGCATTGTCATGCATTATCCCCATGGGCGCTGATGTCATGCTGTGCACGTGTCTCCTTTTGAGTCGACTCGGAAAGCACTCATCATGCTGGGTGGGTGGGTGGCCTAGGAGGAGAGAAACGCGAGAAGGAGCGGATCAGGATTCCAGGAGAGGAAGCTGGCGTGACCCTGACATGCTCCTGCTGCCTTTCTCAAGGACACAAGGAGGCGAGGATGCAAGGAAGGAGACGAGGAGAGACAGGAGGACACAAGGAGGAGTTTTGAAGCGTATCAAGACACAAAGAGGGTCGAGCGAGGAAGTGCAGAATTCAAGTTCCAACAAGGGCATGACTAAGGTGATCTACACTCACCGCGATGCTGGCTATAACGAGTACAGAAAATATTGATAATCCCTTTGCCCCCATTGCCCTTATCCCCTCCCCCCACCTTTCTTTGCCCGAAATGCCCCCCATTCCCCCCCTTTGTCCACATTGTACCCCATTCTCTCCCCCCCCCCCCTTTCCCCACATTCCCTCCATTCCCCCCTGTTTGCCCCCATTGCCTCCCCGTTGACCGCAACTTGATCCAGTAGGAGCATCGCCCCCCTTCCCGGTTCATCCAGTTCTTGAAGGACGTTGGTACAACTCTATATCGCGGATATCTCACCTCCAGATCGACACACGCCAATAATCTCATTATCAGGTGTCAGCCGCGCCTCGCTCCCCAGGGGCGGCGGAGCGCTTCCCTCCCCATCCCCCCCGTCTGGCCGCCCCCCCCCGTCCGAAGATGGGGCAGGCGCGGGAACTTGCGCGATCTCTGCGCCCGCAGAAGATAGGCTTTGCGCGGTACTAGTGGCTTGGCGGTACACGGAGGAAGAGGAGGAGGCGGCGGCGGAAGTCACGCGCGAGGGTGTTCCGCCTTGCGCCGTCGTCGTCATGCGCGGCAACCAGCACCCCTGCGCCGGCCACAGCAGCATCCATTCCGCGTCGCACTCGCCCGCACCGGCGCCGGCGGCGGCGGAAGCCCCCAGGGAGCGGCCGCGCACAGCAGGCTCCTCCCCATCCGCGTCATTCGGGAAAGCTGCATCCCCTACTACAAGCCGAGCAGAGTGCCGCCCGAACACGTGGCGCTGACGTGGCGACCATCGGAACCGCTCGTGCGCTGCGTAATGGGGAGAACCGACGGGGAAAATCAACGGCGGGTGCCACGCGCGGGGAGGCGGAGTGTCGACGCTGGTACTGTTCGAACCGCCGCGGTTCCTGTTCACGGGCGGAACTGAGACAGGTGGTAACTGCGCGCTGATAGGAGCGGCGCGGGTGGGTGAGAAAGTCGAGTGGGGAGGGGAGGAAGCGAGGAGAAGGAGTATTAGGAACGGGAGTGACGATCTACCGGACCTATTAGGGACCATAATTTTACTCTGTTACTAATATGAAGGCCACCGCCCAGAATAAGCTCTAATTTTACATCTCGAACAGGTTACGAGCTGCAAACTTCGAGGGACGGCGCCGCGCAGCTCTCAATCTGCGTGGTGGCTCACTCGCTTGCTTCTGCTCAAACCCTATTATGTCGTCATTTGACTTCACACCGCAGCTACTGCCGACTCAATGCATGCGGACTGAACGCCGTCAACATGCACGGCTCCAAAATTACGTCCCAAAATCACGGAAACATTTCAAGACGCATCCGACTGACCTGAATGGCTAAACGGACGGAGCTTCGACGGCGCTCCCCATCGCCCAGAGCAACGAACCCCGTCTAGGAGCGTCGTGCCGGCGAACTGGCGCGGAAATGGCCGCCCGAACGTGGCCCCAACCACTTGCCACCCCCTGTTGCTTGCTGTCATGTTGCCGTCCAACCGGCTGATCTGACTGGCGGGCTCGGCTGCGAAACATTAGGAGTTGCCACTTGCGCGTATTCGACGACAGGTTTCTCGCCTTGCGATTGTTTCTGGGATGATCCGAGATGCATCGTTCAGCTGCTCGAACGGTCGCAAGGCGAAGCTTTTGCACGACATTGGTCGTTGCGAGTTACCACAAGTAGCTCTCGCAATCCTCCTTGTGCTCTCTTGGACCCTGGGTTGATCGCTACCCGTCAAAAACGAATCTGCAGAGGATTGATCGCGGAAATGTGGTGGTAGTTGAACCGAACCGAACCGACTGTGCATGCTGAACCGAGCCGAGCCGAATCAGGTGCTAGAAAGTCTGCCAGCTTCGACTGGCAGTCTGCCAGCGTGGGCTGACAGTCTGCCAGTTCGAGTTGCCACTCGCCGTCCGTCAAACATCCGGCTTTCTGTTAGGTTCGCCTGAAAGTTGTCAGTTGCAAAAAAACGAGGTATGCGAACTCTCGCTGTAGAAACTTGGTAGTTACAGCTTGTCGCACGCCTCGCGAACCCCAGGGTTCTTTGGTTGTCAAGCAGTCAGGACGCGTCACAATTGCGACATCGATCCTGCGGGAAAGATTTTGTTCCGAGTATACAGTAATTCGCTGTGTCTTGTATCCCGTTTTCGTTAAAGTTCGTGAAGACCCGACACAAGTCACCGAACGCGATGTCCCTTCCAGATCGATCTGTTACCGCACTCAAATCCTACGTAATGCATTTAAAACTTTTAAAAAGGCTTCTAACCCCGCTAACTATCGAACCTGAAGACAATCGCGACACATCTGGCTCAGAGGAGATCGATTCTCGCAGATTCGGTGTGTCACCGCGATCCTCCTCGATGTCGCAATTGTGACGCGTCCTCAGAGACCCACCTTTGCATGCTTGTTTTGCAGCATTCAACGTCCGTACGGAAGTACCTGCAGTCAGCTCCAACAGCAGATAGTCCGACTAATCTCTGAGAACCGACCTTGAAGTCAAGCTGAACCAAGCTTACGTGGCTTCACTGTTCAGCTTCCTTTTCAGAGACCGCAAGAACGAGCGAATGTCAACCCGACTCGAAAACGCGCGCTGCGTTGATTGCCAACCTTTCTTGCTTCTTGATTCGAATCCAACCTGCCGGACACACATCGCGAAAAAGGACTTGCCTGTAGGCTGCGGGAAACTTGCAAGAAAGTTACTTTTTGAATACTTTGGTTTTGCAGCTTGGCAGTGATGGACGAAGGTTGCAGAAAACCAAGTCACTGGAAAGTTGCAAAAAAGTTGCATTTCTGCAACTTTCCCGCAACACAACCGCAACTTATCGGACACTCTTTGGACACATTGCGTATACATTTCAGTCACATGTATGCAGTTTCACCACCTGCCACGTGGCATGCGTACAGTTTCGACTTCGAAGTGTACGTACGCTGGTACGTTCGCGAAGATATTTTGCCACGCAAGCAAAGATATTTCTGCCAGGTGTCATTCTCGATATGTGAACGGCAGCTTGCCATGTGGACCAATCAAACAAGCTGTAGGTTCGTGCGAAAATTGAATACTACAGGGCATCGTTTTGTCTGAAAGCGAAGCATGCGTTCTATGGGTTGCTTGTTACAGGTTTAGAAGGTATACTATCTATATTATGTTGCACATTTGCATACATATTCAACAGTATACACAGTGCACAATCTAGTCGGAAAATAACAACGCTAAACCAACGTCTACATAGCTTCTGGTTAGATGAACACGAGGCGAATTTACACAAGTTTTAAAGCCTGCAAACAGGAATACGACAAAGAGTTAAGACATTGTAAGTAGTACGCTTGTTCTTTACCTCGTTGACCTACCATACGCGGGCCTTGACTTCAACTAATAACATTGCCGTGAATGTGCCAGATAGCTACAGAGTCTTGATAAGAACCCGGCAAAAAGTATAAAACATCAAATCAAATCTCGGGACTTCCATTATCCCTGCAACATTCTTGATACCACACACAGAAGAACACTAACAGAACAAAGACAGATACACGTTAGCGTTAGAGGCTGGATTACATATAACTTGACCAGACAAATGCAGGATGTTATGAGACACGTGCAAGGTGAGGACGTCGATTTAAATAAGATGCAAGCTGAACCAGCGAGAATAGGTGAACGAGTGGAAACAAAAATACGAGTTACAACCTAAGGCACACGCATGGGAAAATGTTAGCTTGATCTCGAGTTACAAAAAGCATGTGTCGCACACCTTTCGGCGCTTTTCGTGCGGAACCCGGCTCTCGCAGCTAGTCGCTGGTGCCACGTTCTCCGCGTGAAGAAAACGCTGCTGTGTAATCTGTAAAAGGAAAGGGGAGGATTTGCAGGGGCCGAAATGATAACATAGATCTGAGTCACAAGCAGCAGTGATATCATGCAATAAGAACAAGAAGTGATGTGGTCTTTGGGTAGACGCTAGTTGGTGCGTAAGAGGACACTCAGAGGCAGGAGATGTGAAGATCATGAGCCAGTTGTCTAAAAATGAGGCAGGTGACGGGTGTTTGGTCGGGAGAGCGCTGGTGGTTGTACAGGATGAATACAGGTGCGGTCACAGATTTGGGATGTAAGATGCTTCTAGAGCTAGAAGGTGTGATGATGTGTCGTGAGGGAACGCCGTTGATCTCTGATTTATTTTTCATCACACCAATCATTGGTTTGTAATAAATCAGGAGGTTCTATTACATTGGTTCGGGGAAGCCACGTCAGTCTGCCGAAATCTGAAGACTTGGATTTGATTGGGTGTGTCAATTAACCGTATGCCTGTTGTGAGTTTCGATACTTGGTTCTGCCTTCGCGACTTTCGTCCGGTTTCGTATTCCTGTTACTGTACTCGCCACTTTCGGAAACCCAAACTAGATTCGGGCGAAGTGTTCCCCGATCGCACACCAACGGAAAAACACCAAGGCAAATTCGAAGTTCGGGTCGTGAACAGGTGTACAGTTCGGTGCAGATGTAGCGAATTTCACGCTAAAAATTCGCGGCTCGGTTCTCCCACGTATCTGAAATGTGCGGCTCGGTTTCCCCACTTAGCCGAAATTGGCGAAAGTTGCTTTTTTCACTCACTGCTTTTCGGATACTTTTTTGCAACGTATCCGCAACATTCCAGCAGCATTCAGACTTAAAACCCGTGGGTCAAGAAGGGCGAAATTGGTTCATCCTTCCTAAGGTTGGTTGGGTGTAACCCTGTGTCCAACAGAGCCAACTTCAAACACGAGAGAGGGAAGCCAGGACCCACTGGCGAAAAAAATTGCTGTAGCAACAAAGCTGAGGCATTTCCCAGCCTCGCACGGGAACATCGTCCAACCCCAATCTGTCGCCCAACAACAAACTGTCGCAGGAATCCAACATTCGAGTACAGCAGCACATAGGCACGGAAAACTTGTCCCAAAATGCC